CCCCCTTAAACTTCTCCGAACTCGAGCGCATCAATCGCATCGGCAGCGGCGCTGGCGGTACGGTTTACAAAGTCCTACATCGCCCCACCGGAAGACTCTACGCTCTCAAAGTCATCTACGGTAACCACGAGGACTCCGTTCGCCTTCAGATGTGCCGTGAGATCGAGATTCTCCGTGACGTCGACAACCCTAACGTCGTTAGATGTCACGATATGTTCGATCACAACGGTGAAATCCAAGTCCTCCTTGAATTCATGGATAAAGGCTCTCTTGAAGGGATCCACATCCCTAAAGAATCAGCTCTTTCGGATCTAACCCGACAAGTCCTCTCGGGTCTCTATTACCTCCACAGGCGTAAGATTGTGCACAGAGATATCAAGCCCTCGAATTTGCTAATCAGCTCCAGGCGCGAGGTGAAAATTGCTGACTTTGGGGTGTCGAGAGTGCTGGCACAAACTATGGATCCTTGTAATTCGTCAGTTGGGACAATTGCCTATATGAGTCCAGAGAGAATCAACACAGATCTGAATCATGGACAGTACGATGGGTATGCTGGAGATATATGGAGTCTTGGTGTGAGCATATTGGAGTTTTATTTGGGAAGGTTTCCGTTTTCTGTTGGGAGGTTAGGTGATTGGGCTAGTCTTATGTGCGCCATTTGTATGTCACAGCCGCCGGAGGCTCCGGCAACTGCTTCTAGAGAGTTCAGGGACTTTATTGCTTGCTGTTTGCAGAGGGATCCTGCACGGCGGTGGACGGCGGCACAGCTCTTGCGTCATCCATTTATTACCCAGAATAGCCCAGCCGCCACCACCACCGGTAATATGATGCCACTTCCTAATCAGGTTCATCAGCCAGCACATCAATTGTTACCTCCACCTCCTCATTTTTCTTCTTGACGTTTTAGGTTTGGAGAATTACATTCCCCTCCTCCTGTTTTACTTAATTTTTTTGGTTTTATTTTGTGTAATCTTAAATGTTGTTACTTTTCTATTAATGGGGATGATGGGTAGTGGTGGTGAAGGGGTGGCTGGATTTTTATTTCTGGAGAAGAAGGAAAAATTGGAGAAATGGGGTCTTGGTTATGATAAAGCTCGAGTCTTTCCATTTTCAGCTGATCAACAATTGTTGTTTTTACACTCTTTTATCAGGAGAAAGGAAAGTAGAAATTATGGATTGCCCCAAGTTAATATTTTGGATATGTTTTTTTTTGCAAAAATGGAATCTTTTATCAAGTCATGGACTTATTTAGCTATAAAGCATTTCACATGTTGAAGACAAATGACCATGAAAAGTGAAAAAAGAAAGTTTTCCAATTCTCTCTTTCCTACAAGGGGCGCAGTATCCATTTTTTTAAATTTTTGCTTGCATTTGTAGGATGATGTTGTACTGGATTTGTGCATCTATTGGTATTGGTTTTGCTAATTTTGGTGAAGAGTAAGGCAATCAATTGTCTTTTTAGGTAGGGGCTAAAGATTTTCTAGACCTTATGATGATTAGTTCAGATCAATGTTGTGACAGATAGATTTAGTTGAATTTTTCGAAAGATCTTGTATGCTAATTGGGGAAGATTTTTCTTGTCCAAAGAGAAAAACTTGCGTATTCAAAGAGATGGAGAGAGAAAACGGTAGCAAGAACTTGGTAAGTGGGGAAAAAATAAAGAGAAGAACATGGCAACACTGAAAAGTGATGCTACTAGCAAGTAAAAAAATATAGTAAAGAATATAAAAAATTTGCTGCCAGCAGGAAAGGTGCATCTCTCTAGTACCTACAGACCCCCTATTCTTGTTTTTGCCTTGTTATTATGCTGAAGCTAGTACGTACTGAGTAGAGTGATAGAGTGAGCTGCTGTAGCAAATTCGAAAAGGATTTGGTGTAATACTACTACTACTATTAGAAAAAGATAAGTAGGGCATTATCTATCTCTTTGTGGGCTGTTACAGACTAGACTAGCCTGCTTGATTCTGCCCCCTTTGCTATTTTGTTCGTGTGAAGCCTCCTGCTATTTCCGAATATTATTGTCTGTCACATTATTTGCTTGCCTGCTCTGGAGAATCCCTTGTTGATTTGCTGTGCGGACAGATACTGGTTGAGATAGTAGTTCCTCATAATAGATTTGCTTGCTTGGTTAATTTTAGATGCTGATACTTCTGAACTTAATCAATTTGTGGTTTTTTTTTTTTTTTGGGGGGGGTAACACTGTACACCTGAAAAAGAGATAGGAATCGTTTTAAATATATCCTTAATAAGTAATTATCCTCATCCTAGCATCATACATAATTGGTATCATTCAATGGGTAAATTTCATAAATGGTTGTATAGTTGTCACTTCTTTTCATTAAAGTCATATAATTTTAATTTCTCACACAAAAATCATATAACTATGTTTTCTCACACAAAAATCATTAAAAACTTCTACTAACTCACACAAAAAATCATAGTGATCGAACAATTCAATTTTTCAGTAGTATTTTTTTTTTTGGTTTTTATTTTTTATTTTCAGTCTAATAAATAATAATTCAATTATAATAGGGATGACTTAACCCTACTTGGTTTTTATTTTCAGTCTAATAAATAATAATTCAATTAAAATAGGGATGACTTAACCCTACCCGACCCAATACTCATATATGGAGGGGGGGGGGGGGGGGGGGGGGGTTTACACTGTACACCTGGAAAAGAGATAGGAATCGTTTTAAATATATCCTTAATAAATAATTATCCTCATCCTAGCATCATACATAATTGGTAACATTCAATGGGTAAATTTTACAAATGGTCGTATAACTGTCACTTCTTTTCATTAAAGTCATATAACTATGTTTTCTCACACAAAAATCATTAAAAACTTCTTCTAACTCGCACAAAAATCATAGTGATCGAAAAATACAATTTTTCAGTAGTATTTTTTTTTTTTGGTTTTTATTTTTTATTTTCAGTCTAATAAATAATAATTCAATTATAATAGGGGTGACTTAACACCTGATTTTTATTTTCAGCCTAATAAATAATAATTCAATTAAAATAGGGATGACTTAACCCTACCTGACCCACCCGACCCAATACTCATATATGTACAGGGGAGGAGAGGGTAACACTGTACACCTGGAAAAGAGATAGGAATCGTTTTAAATATATCCTTAATAAGTAATTATCCTCATCCTAGCATCATACATAATTGGTAACATTCAATGGGTAAATTTCACAAATGGTCATATAACTGTCACTTCTTTTCATTAAAGTCATATAATTTTGTTTTCTCACACAAAAATCATATAACTATGTTTTCTCACATAAAAATCATTAAAAACTTCTACTAACTCACACAAAAATCATAGTGATCGAAAAATACAATTTTTCAGTAGTATTTTTTTTTTTTGGTTTTTATTTTTTATTTTCAGTCTAATAAATAATAATTCAATTATAATAGGGGTGACTTAACACCTGATTTTTATTTTTAGTCTAATAAATAATAATTCAATTAAAATAGGGATGACTTAACCCTACCTGACCCACCCGACCCAATACTCATATATGTACAGGGGAGGAGAGGGTAACACTGTACACCTGGAAAAGAGATAGGAATCGTTTTAAATATATCCTTAATAAGTAATTATCCTCATCCTAGCATCATACATAATTGGTAACATTCAATGGGTAAATTTCACAAATGGTCATATAACTGTCACTTCTTTTCATTAAAGTCATATAATTTTATTTTCTCACACAAAAATCATATAACTATATTTTCTCACACAAAAATCATTAAAAACTTCTACTAACTCACACAAAAATCATAGTGATTAAAAAATATAATTTTTCAGTAGTATTTTTTTTTTTTGGTTATTATTTTTTATTTTCAGTCTAATAAATAATAATTCAATTATAATAGAGATGACTTAACCCTACCTGGTTTTTATTTTTAGTCTAACAAATAATAATTCAATTAAAATAGGGATGACTTAACCCTATCTGACCCACCCGACCTAATACTCATATATGTAAATTAAATTATACTAAAAGTGAATCGTAAATCTTTTAAGATGATACTTCTATCTTTTATTTTTCTTTTCAAGATTTTTATTTAAATTGATAGCATTTTTATTTCAAGTTCTCTCTAATTATACCTTTTATTTCTTAATTTTTTTGTCGCAATCTCATGCATTTCGAACTAAATTATTTTACGAGGGAAGAATTCACTTTTCGTATTATTTTAACTTGTGTATATGGTTATTGAGTCGGACTGGGTTGGATTATTCGTATTTTAAGAAAAAAATATAAAATTAACCGATCGGTCGAAACTAATTATATTATATATATATATATATATATATATATATGAGAGTATGTTACATGTATATAATATACACATAAAAAATAGTTTATTGGCAATTATTTTTGGGAGGGCTAAAAATACTCATATTTCTCCTATTTTAATTAGGTAATTATTATTAGACGAAAAATAAAAAATAAAAAAAACGTAATAGTAATAGAAATTTATTTTTTGACCACTACGATTTTTATGCGAGTTAGTGATAGTTTTATGATTTTTGTATGAGAAAATAAAGTTATATGACTTTTGTAAAAAAAAAATCATAGTTATATGATTTTTGTGCGAGAATAATAGTTATATGACATTGGTAAAAAAAAGTCATACTTATATGACAATATGTGAAATTTACCGTGTTCCCAACTATGGGTGGCAGGTTGAGTCGGATATGAGCGGGTTGAAAACAAGTAATTCAAAAAACGGATAAATTATTCGACCCTAACCGTATTAGAGACGGATAAAAAACGGGTTATCCAGCGGATAATATGAATATCCATATTATCCATGGCTTCTTGAATATGATCAATTATGGGAGAATTTCTAGTCTTCCAAAACTTGAGAAACCCCCCAATTTGAGGTTTTACAAATGAAAAAGTTAAACATATTGGTTATCCATTTGGTTAATCATTTTCTAAGTGCTTCTTATCCATATTCGATCAGTTTTTAAAAAATTTGTTATCCAATTTATTTTTTAATAAATAATATGGATGCACAACTATTTTCTTTTAATTATTTTTACACCTTTATTCCCAACATTCACGTGCTTAATTGTGATCTTTCAACTTTGGTGTACAAGTCTGCTATTCAATGAATTGATACCGATTGTCTATGGTTGTGTCTTATAGAAATTGATGATGGATGAGGCCCTCCGGGCTCTGGTCTAATTGGAAGAGACATTACATGGGTTCGAATTCTGCTACATACAAATAATATTAAGGGATCGTTTCGTTACCGGTTAGAGTTATGCAGGTATTAGTTATACAGATATTAGTTGTGTATGTATTAATTATGTATGTATTAGTTATGCAGGAATAAGTAATGCAGGGATAAGTTATGCAAGGTTGAGTTATGTTGGGATTAGTTATGCGAGGATTAATTACGCGATAGTTATATAAGGATTAGTAATATAAATGTAATGTGAGTGTTATTTATTATTAGCTTACTTTATTTTATTAAAATTGTTAGTATAGTTTAAATATATATTTTTAAACAAAAAAATACAAGTTTGAATAAAGGGTATTCTTGTCATTTTGTGTTTTAATACACGTATTACTAATACATGTATAAGTTATTTCACCTTCTACCTTGCATAAATAATACATAGATTCTCTCATAACTTATAAATATATTAGTTATGCCGGAAAAAAAAACATGAACCAAATATTGTATTAGCAATGCTACATTTTATGTGAAAAAGATTTTTTTCCTTTCTTTTAACCAAGCAATGTATAAAGTTATCCCAGTTTTAATACATGAATAACTCCTCTCTAACCGGCTACCAAACGAACCCCTGACATAAATGGATTTATGGATAAGGTCATCACTGAACAATGAAGACCCAGTAAGCAGTATGTTAAATAACTTGACAGTGAAAACTTAAAAAGTTGTTGGTTTCATCTTGAAGGCCGGCTTCGTGGTCGATAGGTAAGGCCATTGCTGATTCGAAGTTGTATACTGGTGTGTATTGCAGATTTATATCAAACAATCGCTGTTATCCTTAGCCCCACGGTGGGCGCCAAACTGTTTACCCAGAAAATTAGATAAAGTTAAATTTGAGTATGGTTCTAAAGATATGTTATATAGTTTGATACAAACCGTATAGAGAAATAGTAATACCTATATTCTTGACTATGAGAATGAGAATAATGAGCAAGAAGAATGAATAAGATAAAGTAAAACGAGTACAGAGGGATATCTTTCAATATGAGAAGTGACCTTTTGTTACAGTGTGTGAGACGGCCTTACGCTTACAAGGATTCCCCCTTTTATAGTAGAGAGAT